ATGGTATTTAGATTATAGCGTGGTACTATAACCTAGTCTAAGTGGGATACCACGCTTTAATATAATTATATTAAAGCATAGTATCTCACTCTACTTGCATATAATTTTTTATTAAGATTGGTTAATATTCATTGAGTAATAGATATTTTTTATAACTATAAATTTCTGAATTTTTTTTATTTGTATAATTTATTTAATACTGTATCAATATAAATATATATTATGAAATTACCACAATTGATAAAAAAAAAAAAGTTTCAAATTATTTTGTTTAATTATAATTAATTTTATTTGAATAAATGAAAAAAATATTTTTTTTTTTGTTAATTTTATTATATTTTTAAAATTATATATATATAAAACAGTAATTTAATCTATATAATAATTAAAAGTTATAATTATAGTTTTTTATACAAAATTTTATTCTTTTTTAAATATACAATTAATTATAATAATTAATGAAAAAATTTAAAAACTATTATTAATATTAAGAGTAAAATTTACTTTTGAATTTCATAAAAAATATGCAAAAAAATTATTTTTCTGTTGCAACTTTTGCTTTATGCTTTTAACTTATTGTAAATTGACAAATTATGTGATCTATTTATGTTACCCAAAATCTGCAGATCAGTGAATACTGGTTTTCAAGTTTGCTATATATTGTATAATATTTCAAAAGCTTTAAATTTTTAAATCTTATTTGTAAACATAACAAAATAACTATTTCTGAACAATTCCACTATAGGAAAGGTTTTACTTTTTTAAACGTTTTTAAAAAACAAGGTGTCACATTATTCCTAAGGTCGCTATGTATGCATTTGAACTTTATCACTACATAAAAGTATGTGAAATTGAATTTTACAGATTTTGGATTATTTATGGGAAGAATTTCAAGTCGTGCCCATCAATTAAAAAAAGCGTGAAATACAAGCTCAAAATTAGAAGCAAATAAAAATGACAAAAAACAAAAATTAACGAACTAAAACTAAACAATGCTTTCTATTGACTCTAATTCATTTGAAAATATTACCAAATCCAGTATTAAAAACGTCCGGAAGTCAACCATTATGTAACTTAAATTTGAAGAATAATATAATTCTAGATGATGCAAAAAGAGTTCTAAAAAAAAATAATATAATTGTCTTTATTACTGTATAAACTCTGTGATTGGTATTAAAAAACTAAAAAGTCAAAATACTTCGAATTTGTATTACGCTACCAATCATTCATGTCAGTTAATTGCTCTCTTCAAACCCTTATTTATAAAGGAGTTAGAGTTAACGAATACTGACATTTAATTTGAGTAGTGTTATTTTACAATTTTTAAAATATCCGGCAAAAAAATCCAATTGATCCATTTAACCGGTATAACCGACAGAAATTAAATGATCGTCAAAAAAATTTCTAATAGTAAATTTTTATGGATACTAAACAATGTTTTGATTACATAGTGGCAATCCGATTACATTCACACACTATATAAAAAAGGAATGATATATCAATTAATATTTCGTTAATAACGACGCCATTATTTTATCATAATATGTCATAACGATTTTTGATAGTATATAAACCCATGGTTTTCTTTCGATTGAGAAACAGATACAAAATGAATTTAAATCGTAAATTAATAAAAACTTATACAGTAATACGTCCTATGAGATCTTTGGTCACTTCGACCATGAATCCTTCCGAACCAGGATCTGAACAAAAGGAAGATGATGAAAAAGTTTTTAATCGTAATGAGCAAACTATATCAGGTTCAACAAATCAAGTTTCTCACGCAAAAACCGCTTATGACAGAGAAACAATTAATCCAAATCAAGAAATACAAGAATTCAAACGAACTAATCATCAAGTAAGTAAAAAATATAATATAATATATATTGATATATGTTTTTGATTAAACAATTTGTCGTAAAATTTTAGGATTCTCTGGAGTGGAGTGCCGCAAATGAGAATATTAGTGATACAACTAAAAAAAAATCATCTCAACCTGTTGGATAAATGTTTATTTTATTATAAATAAATAAATGGCTTTAATAAGACCGAATCGCTAAACGTGGCTCAGTTCCTATGTTGGTTCCCTAGGAAATTGTGGCGCTTGCTACAAATAATTAAATTTTTCCTACTGGTTTAGGGCTCGATACTATGGCGTCATTTAGATTTAACCTTTAAAAAAATGTAAATGTATTTATTTAAGAGAGATAGCCCTTAATAAATAATTTTTATAATCAAATTTAGTAATGTTCCGAGATACGTAAAAGTTTTCGTATTATAAATTTACACGAGATCATAAAATTTTCTTTAGAATGTCAGAACTAAATGACGATTCTCGAAAACAAACAAAACCGCGTAAACGTTTCGTTGGAAAAGCAGCTGCGAGAAAAAAGCAAGGAAATCAAGATCTAATTACAAATATAGAAGATAGTAGTTCTGTTGTTGCTATAGGTAATATGCTGAATTATTTGTATTTAAATTTTTTCCTTTTTTAATTTTTGTTTCTTTATAAATTCAGAAAATTCACCAATAAAAAACAGGTCTGCGAATCGAGTAGCAAACCAAATTCCTCTTGAAATATTAAATGATTCTTTATTAAATAAAGCAATTGAACAGGTTTTTTTTAAAGATAAATTCTCTTCAACTTTTGAGGTTTTTTTTTTAAAAATTTATTTAATATTTAATATATTTGTTTCTTTTCAGCTTCCATCGAATTATAATTTTGAGATTCACAAGACCATATGGAATATCAAACGTTCAGAATCTACGAAAGGTTTGATATGTCAATTTTACGAGTTTTTTTATTATCATAAGGTGAAATCTAAAAGTTATATTATATTTTTTAAATTAATTAGTCGCATTACAATTCCCGGAAGGACTTTTGATGTTTGCATGCACTATTGCAGATATATTAGAAAGCTTTTGTAATGTCGAAACACTCATAATGGGAGATGTGACATATGGAGCTTGTTGTGTAGATGATTATACCGCAAAATCCTTAGATTGTGATTTCATGGTACATTATGGACATAGTTGCTTAGGTTAATTGAGATTCTAATTCTTCTAATTTTTAAAATTTTTTTCTTTTTCTTTTTTAAGAAGATTAATTAATAAATTTAAATTTTAGTCCCCGTAAATGTTACAACTATAAAGACAATATATGTCTTTGTGGATATTGGAATTGATACCGAACATTTTATAAATACTGTAAAATTAAATTTTGAAATTGGGAAGAAATTGACCATTGTTGGTACCATTCAATTTGTTGCTGCTATTCAGGTAAATTCAATTGCAATATTATAAATAAAAGATTTGTAAGGTATTTTAAAGGATTCATTAAACTTAAAAATTGCTTCTTGATTTTCTAAATGATTAATAAGGCAACAAAAAAACATTTAGAAGATGATTATTCTTTATTTGTTCCACAAGCAAAACCTTTATCTCCCGGAGAAATATTGGGTTGCACTTCTCCAAAGCTAGGTGAACAAGATGCTATAATGTAAGTCATATTTAATTGACTTTAATTTGACTTGACATTCGTTTCACAGTTTTCCTTCCCTTGTATTTCTACCTTTTTAGATATCTTGGTGATGGTCGATTCCATCTAGAATCAATTATGATCGCTAACCCAGATATACCTGCATTTCGGTGTTTATTAAAGTGATTATATCGTTAATTTATTATATTGAAATATATGTTAACTGTATTATTTTTCCCTTTAGCTATGATCCGTATTCCAAGAAATTTACAAGAGAACGTTATGATCACACGGAAATGCATTCCCTAAGAAAACATGCGATTGATTTGGCTAAAAGGGCTAAAAAATTTGGTTTAATATTGGGAACTTTGGGTAGGCAAGGAAGTCCTAAAGTTTTAGAGGTATTTATGTTACGAAACTTGAGTTTTATCATCAAAAATGAAAGCTTTCTTTTAACCACTTTTATTAAAACCATAGTACCTTGAAACAAAAATCAAATCTCATGGACTAGATTATATTTGCGTATTACTCTCCGAAATATTTCCAAATAAATTGGAACAATTTCAAGATATTGACGCGTAAGTTTCTATTTATCTTCAATATATATATTTTTTTTTTTTTACATTAATAATCAATGATAAAGAGACTTCTACTTTTATTTTCTAGGTGGATTCAAATTGCATGTCCACGCTTGTCAATAGATTGGGGTTATGCATTCCAAAAGCCATTGTTAACACCATATGAAGCATCGGTTGCATTAGATGCAATTGATTGGCAATCAAATTATCCAATGGACTTTTATGCCAATGATAGTTTAGGGCCTTGGACGCCTAATCATGGGAAGGGGGAGAATTAAACGATAGCGACTATATATTTTTTTATTAGTCCGGAACGAATTGAAGGACTATTGTACAGGTTTTGGTTACACAATTCTCCGCTTGATCGCAGAGTCGATGCTGGTTAGCCTTTGCCAGTGTGATTTTTTTTAATACATATACGGTGTTGTTTTTTTTTATTATATTATTATAAATATATTTGTTTACTTCACCAAAAATTAAATCCTAGTCCTAATTGTAATCCCTTTTTTAACTTATCAGTATTTGTTGCTACCAACGGTAAACAGAAATTCATTTCTAATCTTAAAATGCTACTTCTATATACTATTCCTACGCCTGCTGAAACACTAGGTGCCCTTGTAAGATTTCGGAAGGCATAAGTAAGCGGTTGATCTAAAATTGAATCCTCATGGTTACAATAAAGTCCTTAAATTTTGCATAAGATGTCATGATTTGAACTTACGTGGATTTACTTGTACCAAACTTCCCCCATTTAAGAAGAAATGCCCTTTAACCGGATATCTGCTCAACTTGGGTAACGGAGTGAAAAGACTTACACCTGCCGCAACATAAGCATCACCTCCAAGTGAATCCCCTAAATGCCAATAAAAATTTATAAATATGTAATTCTAACAAATAGAAGTTTGAATTATAAGGAATGATTAATCTTGTTTTATACTTTTATCTTCTCTTGGACCTATTCCATTCAATTTAAATCCTCTCACGGATTGTGCTCCACCAAGGAAAAATCTATCACTAATTTTTGACTGGTGAACTTCCAATGGAAATAGAATTCCATTTCTGAGTGATGCACTAAGAATCTAATTTATTATATTAAATTTCAAACGGTAAATTAAATTAGAATAGAGATCAACAATCAATAAATTTATAACTTACAAAGCCTTTACCGAGAGGAAAATTAATTTGACTCTCGACTTCATTTTTAATAAAATGAACGTCCCCACCAATTCCCGCGAATTCCTATATTGTAATTATATTTAGCCTTATACTGAAATATATTTTGTGAATAAATTATAAGATAATTCATATAACCTGAAATAACTTAATGTAGTAACCGCGCGAGGGCAACATTATATCGTCGCGCTTATCTCGCATAAAAGAATGTGACACAGATGATTTTAAAGAATGACCTGCCGAATTCCGTATACTAAATTCATAAACATAAATTATAATGAGAACATATATGTATAATTTTTCTTTTATAAAAAAACTTATGTATGTTAGAATTTGCCTTAGTGTTGCATCATGAGCAATATTACAAATTTGTCTCCACGATGCTCCGTAAGCTAACTCGTATAATCCTAATTTGGAAAGACGCTATTAACATAAAATAGTGTTATTATTAATTATATTTACGAATTTAACCTAAGGATTCTTGTAATCTTAACGTACTCTCCATCTTAGCGCCATTCCTTGCAATATTTCGTCATGAGAACTAAAACTTTGATTATTCCTTGTTAATCTATACGCTGAAATGTCAATCGTGGAATCTGGATTTCCATTAATCGGTTTTGCTAAACAAAACTAGAGAATATATTAAATTGATATAATGTTACATTCATTGTGTTAAATTCAACAAAATGTACATACCTCAAATACATGTGAAGTCTGTGTTCCAGCCGACATATAAGTTTCTAATGATTCTGCGCCACCAAATACATTACGAATATTCAAAGAAATATTCTAATAATTGAAAAATGCACTTTCGATTAATCAATAAATAATATGAAACAAAAGTGTATCAATGACCAAGGATGACATACCGCACTCCCTGCATCATTACCAATTTCAGTCCCAGTCTTTATCCAAAATCTGCTTTTTTCTTCTACAGATAAAATAACATCAATAGCTCCGGGTTGTGCAAATGGGTCATTGTTGTTATCGAGCAATACATCTACATATTTAAATATGTCGAGGCGATTCAATTTATCTGCGGATATACGAACTTCATCAATTACCGAACCCAATGTGCGGGCATGTAATGCAGGATGAAACACAGACTCGAACAGTGATCGACGCGTCTTTTTTGTACCATGAATTTGAAAAGAATGTATATAAAATGGACTGTCTTTTGTGTCAAACACCTATCAATTTTTATTTTTATTTTTAGGGGAGAAATATTAATTCAATTTTAAGAATTGTGCGAACACGCTTAAATTACAATATTACTTACCAAATTATTTAAATTATTTGCCGCTTCTTCATATCCTTTATTTTTCTTAGCTTGAGCTTCAAAGTTGAGACCCGCGAATTCTTCGTTCTGGTGAGCCCTGAGTGGAAAGTGCAAGTAATATAATTTGTAAAGCAATGAATGAGTGATTAAATCAATACTTTAATTTAACAATTTTCAAGAAAATACCTCAAATACCTCTTCTTCATTATCCATTAATGTAGCTGTTCCTTCGAACAAGAAGAATTATTTAAGATCTCTGATCATAAAAAAATTTAAAAAAATTTTTTTTCGGAATCTTTCAAAGCACGTGATTTATCTATTTATATCAGACGAACACAACGTCGCCCATAAAAAATGGTAGCCGGATTTTATTTGCCGGATATTTATTATTAGGATTAGTATTATATTTAGGGTTTATATTAGGATTAGGATTAGGGTATAATTAGGATTAGTTTAAGGGGTAGCAAATTTGTCACATCGCGTCACATCCCAGCCGTTCTTCAATTTACTAAGTATTCTAGGGACAGAAATTTTTTGTTGAGAAAAATGCTAATTGTCACCATTATATGTCACACATAATAAGTATATGAACATTTAACTTATCTGCGATTTTATTGGTTGAAATTTGTGATGATCATTTTTGAAATATCACGTAATTATTAATTTTGATTGGTACAAAATTGATCGTCATAAAAATTACCAAAATAGAAAGGTTAGTTTTAAATATTTTTCGGCTATTTTTTTATATCAAAATTCTTGAATTAACGTTAAATCAAAAATATAAAAATATTAAATATATCTATATTTTTTTATAATAATAAAAATTAGAAAAAAAAGTAAAAAAATTAAAAAAGGAACTTGCAACATTAAAT